GAATAAATCGTTGCAATTAATTTGCAAACAGCCTTGAGGATAAATTATTCGAATTCGAGCCGAGTAAAATCGATGCGTTCCATTTCTTTAAGAAGAGTTAAAAAAACCAAATCGTTCTATTACCTTCCTCGCTTTACCTCGATCAAAGCTCTTTTTTCTTTTTTCTTTTTCTTTTTCTTTTTTTTTTCTTTTTCTTTTTCTTTTTTCCTTCTTCTTCTCCCCCGTACACGAAAAATTACCTCTTGATATCTTCATCGATCGCCATCCCGGTCGAAAAATTGTAGCGATTTTTCGCCGCAACGATGGGAAATATTCGTTGGTTGCGCGCGCACGTTCCGAGGAGGAGTTGAAGTCGAATCGCGTCGAGTAACGGCGTAGACGAATTCGCGACACTCGATCAGCTCCAGCGAACGAACCATAAACGAAGGCGTAATTCATGCCCGCCTAAAGTGGTCTTTAAGCTGATCAACGATATGATTGAGGACCACTAAAGTGGCCTTCGCCGGGTGAAGGATAAGACGATCGATTTCTTACGCCGAGTTTGCATATATTTTTTTTTAATGATTAGAATCGGATTAGAAGCTTTTCTCGGAGCAAATATAATAATTTTGTTATAACTCTATCTCTCTATCCCCTTTTTATTTACACGAATTTACATCGATCGATTCGCTCGAAATAACGTTTCAAGCTTTGTGTATTTTTAGGATCAATTCTTCGGATCTTTAAGAAGATTAGCGAGCTAACATAACTCGCGTTATACTATTATTATTATTCCCCCGATGTTTATTCAGTTTACTCAGGTTATACACGGATTATTATTACGTTACGCGAAATTTGAAAGTAATCTATACAACGAGATAAATCGCTTCACGGATTTTTCTTCGTTTCGTTCGCTCTCGTTTTTTCTTTGTTCGCCTATTCGCGTTTTCCTTTACGATTCGTATCGATAGAATAGGGAATCGAGGAATCGAGGATCTTATTCCCTTTCAAGAACTAAGCGTCTTTTAACATTAGAAGCGGACCAGTATTTTATTATCCACGCTGATCGTATCTTTAATCGAAAATCTTTGTCCATCGAAAACGCACACGCACACACGCACACACATACTCTCTCTTTCTCTCTCTCTCTCTAAAACTACGGGAATCAGGGAAATAATTTTTTCCTAAGCTCGCGTCAATTAATCAAAGCTAGGATTCCACTCGGCCAACTTTCTCTCCGATCTCGAGATCTAAAAACCTAAAGAAAGACGAAAGACACTATCTAATTTCCAATCCCCTTTCTTTCTTCCATCTTTCTTTGCCTCGTCCCTTCGTTCTTCATCTCGCTCTCCGTGGAAAGGAACACAACGCTAAGGAACACAATCGTGAAAAATTCTCGGGGATCAGGGGCGTGTCACACGTAACCGTTCGCGTCCAACTTTAAAGCGGCCTCGTAGGAAGGCAATCCCTCGTCCGATGCTTGCTGTTCGACGGCCTCGTTACGCTCCAGACCCGATCTCACGCTCGTGCTCAGCCCCAATAACGTGGACACCATCGAGGGAACGATGGACCCGGGTGTCTCTCCACCCTTCTTCTCCATCGAGGTGGGTAGGCTTTTCGGATCGAAGATCAGGCTGTCGTAAGTTGGAGGTGGGCCGGGGCCGGAAATCGGAGTTACGGGGCAGGATAAAACGTCGTAGGCGCTCTCGTCCTGGTTTCCCTCGGTCGTCGCCGATTGTTGTTGTTGTTGTTGTTGCCTCTCGCAGCACTGGAAAAAAAAAAAAAAA